ATTTCTCCTGTGGAAATGATTGTGGATCAGAAGGTCACCAAGGTTTTCAACTGTCTCCTTCTCCTGACTTTTAACTAGGTTGCACAGACAAGAGTCTGCTGTGTGGAATATATAGAGGAGGATTTCAGACTGTATTAGCCTACATGGCTCAATTTAAGCCATTTTACTAAAGATCTCATAAAACTTGACATGATTTTCTTCATTACCTAGTTACCTTTCTGGCCTGAGGTGGCTCAAAAATATCGAGAGAATCCTATGGATATTTGTACAGATGCTGTACAAAGAATGATTTTTGCCATGTGATGGATAAAATAGCCCTTTAGCTGTACACTACCATTTAACTGAATTTTTAAGTTCATTTGCTTAGAAGGAATACACTACCATAAAAATTGGATGACATTGTCTCCTGGAAGTAGAGATTTGATTTGGGAGGATGAGAATATATTTGTTAAAAACAAAATGCTTCTGGCTTTAGTAAAGGTTTGATCTGAATAGATCCAAATCAAGCAGGAAGTCAGATGGATTTATATAACAAAACAGGTTATGAGAAGCTGGAGAAGAAGAAAGTCCTGTTTCAGTGAATTACATGTTCCTGTGCTATAGATATTGTTGGCATTGATTGTTACATACCATGCAATGGATGTCATGCTAAGAAAGTAGTGAAAAATACACTAGTGTATACAGTTTAAAAAAAAGGCAGAGGAGGGGAGTGTCCATGTACATGTATGTGAGTACACTTGTGGTGGGGAGGGGGCAGGCAGTTCCCAGTCTGCCTCCTGAGGGATCTTTGCATGACTCATATGTTGGCTTTCAAGTCATTACGCTCTCCACAGGACCACCAAGTTTCCTCTGCTTGAAAGGGCTGGAAGTGCAAGGTGGGCTCCAGGTGAAGGCAAAAATCTAATGCTTTTTCCCACTGTTTCATGCTTACAGAGATACTGCTTCCCTTTGCTCCCTCCCGCTCTGGGGATAGAGTCAGGAAAGAAACAGCATCCTTTTACTACAAAGATTCAACCTTTAACCCAGGACTGCCAAATCCAGCCCAAAACCACGTCTCTAAGTGCCATATCTACACGTCTTTTAAGGACCTCCAGTATTCCAATACTGAAATCCTTTTAGTTCAAGGCAATTTGAGCATCTCTTAAGGCTTAAGAACTGGAAGCACTAAGTGGAGATCTGGGAAGTTTCCTCCTACCCCCAATGCTCATAGGAGGTTGGTCAGTTAAGCTGCTTCCCTGTTGCTCAGCAGAGTTCTGTGTAAGAGGTGACATGGTGACCTTTGCAGTGAAGTGAAGACAGGCACAGAACAGAGACAGAAAAATTGCCCACCACTATTCCATGGTGTAGGCAGTCACTGGTGTCACTTGCCTTTGGGCTAGTGTCCTGTCTCACTTGTTGGAAAAGCAGTTCCCATGGAATAAGAAAGCTGAAATCCTCCTTTTCTTTTTAATTTCTAGCCAGGGGAGTTTGTTTCACAGTCTGTAGCCCATACAAGCAGTGACTACCAGTGCATATTTTGTATACATATTCAATATATGAATTTACCCCTTCAGCTGTGTGCATGCATCATCAAGGAGCAGGATACTTCATATGTTCCCTTTTGCTTTTGAAACCTTGGTGATGGCTTGCTGGGATGAATGTCACCTCTATGGCTTTCTTCTGATGCCCTGCACACAGCAGTTTTGAGGGATTGTGGCTGCAGGATCAGCCAAGACTGCTATGCTCCCTGTGATGAAACTGGAGGGCAGAGCAGCGAGGTGTGATGCAGAGAGGCCACGGGAGATCCTGGGTCTGCATTTCCCCAAAGCTGACCCTTCCTGCACTGGCCCTGTGTTGGGCAGAGCAAGCTCAAACTCACACAAGGGACTTGGTGTGAATGGCTCTTCTGCTTGGGGGTAGTTTCTTCACACTCACAAGTCGCATCCCCAAAACAAACAAATAAAACCAAACAAAAAATGCTTCAGAAAAACTCAGGTCGCACCTTTTCCTTCATAGTATTCTTAATTAGATTGTGGCTTGGATGTCCTGGGCTTTTTCCATCCCAAAGTAAGAACTCAGGGAATTTAAGTTGTTTGTTCCCTTCTATACAGCAAAGTAAAAAGGTACAGGAGAAATAATATTTTGGCAGTTGGGATAACTTACAGTAAAACTTGAGATTTTATTTCTTTTGTTCCAAGGTGGAGGAGAATTGTTTTTACCTCCTAGGTAACTCGTCAGCTGAAGTTTTTGACTTAATAGTTGAATCGCTTTTATTTCAACTCTGTTGATTCTTGGACTGAATCCAGTGAAATAATTTATTTAATGTGATGCGCTGAAAATATTTATAAATTATTGTTACTTAGAGGAGGAAGGTAGGAGTTGCCACTTTAGTGTTTTTCTGAATGTACCGCGATCTACGCTGATGAAGCATGGATGATTTCATTTCAGTCAACAGCACAAAGCAACGTCCATCCTGACTATAACAATGTAAATGTCATTTGCTTTCCTTAAATCTGTCTGAGAGTATGTCATCTATCAGCGTAACGTCTCAGATGGTGAAGAAATTCTGTACTGGGTGTGTGAAATGGGAGCACGTGAAGAGTCTGTATGAAATTTCGTCCCTCCTTAATGTTTTGCAGAAGTTCTTTTGGGTAACATGTTGTGAATTTGCAGAGGAATTAGGTGGGTCATTCTTGCAGAGATGCAGGCATAGGACAGGTTCTACAAAGGTAAAACGTTGCCCCTCCTCAGGACTTTTGAACCACTCAAAGCGTCTCTATTTTGTACAAGTGTTAAGGAGGGGAAAAAGAGAAAATTAATTCCTTGTATTGCCCAGCTAATGTCCTGTATGAATTTACTCTGCATTCTTGTGTGGTCCATGATCTGAGATTTGGTGATCTCAAGGAGAGCTACTGGAGCACTGGATGTCTAGGTGCACTACGTGAAGCAGTGACTGTTAAGGGCTCCTCATAAAGCCTATTTGGCAGGTGCTGTGAGTGCTCGTTTTCCTTAGCTTTGTTTCTTTCCCTGGATTTAGGCTAGTTTGTGGTTAATGTTTCAAGTTTGCATCACCACTGAAACACTGCTCACCTCAGCTGACTACAACTCTGTGTCCATTACTGATTCCAGAGTGTAAACTAGATAGGTTATTTGTCCTGCCCTGAGGAAGAAGAGAAGGAGTTAAAATTTAAGAGTTGTCTGTGGTGGGCATCAGTGCTGACTAACACCTGTCTTGAGTACATGGAAATCAATTTGGACCTTGTCTGATGAATTCCACTGCTGGAGTTCTTTCTTTTCCGTATAGAGCTACATATGAGAATCAAGAAATAAATGCTTTCGCTTAAGATAACATCGTGTGACAGCTGAGAACAATTAAAACTCTTACTTGTAGCTATATTTTTTTCCTTCCTTTCTGCAGCAGGAGGGTGGTGTCTGCAGCTCTAAGGAGTTGATACAGGCTATTTGTCACTACTGTGATCTTATCTAGAACAAGTATCCTGCAAGGTTATTTATTTTACAGACTTTTCTTCTAGTTTTGCACAACACACAGATCTTGGGAGATGGGAAAGGATTTTTTTTCTTACTAGAGTCTTTTTGGCAATAAACACATGCCTAACTGTAAGAGAAAAAACTTTCACAACCAGGCTTGTTTTGTGAAGCCCAAACATTTGTGAAGCTTACAAACCCTCAAACTTTGCATAATGTGCCCATCCCTGGTCTCAAACATGAAGTGGCAGAAGAGGGAAGTGTTACTTTTTTTAACCAACAACTTATGACTGTGTCAACACATGACAATTTGTCAAAGCTTGCTGTAGCGGTACTGTAAATTAATTTTTAGCATCACTTGTGAGTGGTAAACACTTTGTGCAGTGTGAACAGCTCCTAGTACAGTGTGAGTTGTCAGCAGCTTGTGAGCTACCCTAAAAAAAAAAAAAAAAGAATAAAAAGCACAGAGGGAAGGACGTAAGCTCGTTTACTAGGACAAAATGGATCTGAGTCTGCAAAAATTCAACATGTGGTGGTATGTCAATTCAACCTTGAAAACTTGTATTTTCCATTAATAATAATCACCTGCAAGGCTGGGAAATCACAACTTTCCATTCTGTGCCCCACGCAGTGCCTGATAGCAAGCAGTTTTCTCAGGCTCATGACTTGGTGAAGTAGAGCCCTCTCTTTGCTCTTGGGTTTTGCCTTTGCTTACTTGCTTTAAAAGTAATCCTACAAATGCAAGTATGCTCTTTTGCTGAGAAGTCTCAAATCAACCATGTAAAATGCCTGGAAAAAAATTAATATGGCAGCCCAAAGAGAAATGGTGGGGGCTGTGTGCTCTCTCCTCCTCACCTGTCCCCTTACTGTTTCTCCTTACCTATCCCAGCTGCTGTGGTGGAGCTGGCAGTGATGGTTCATACAATAGGAGTTGACATGATGGAAGAAAATTATTTGGTGCGAAAAGACAGGGAATATGGATTGTAGAAAACAACTTTTCAGATACAAATGTATTTTAACCTGTCACTTTAGCAGAACAAGCAGTAATAACCTCCCAACCTAACAATGACTGTTAAGTTGAATGTTAATTCGCTCAGTCGTTGAATTGCTAACATGTCTACAATTTACAAGTGAACACCCACTCAAGAGAGAGAAAATAGAAGTTGGTGCCTGGAATTCCTGGCCTTACTGAAATCACCTACATTTTTTTTGGTACTAATTCATCTTGCATTTCCTGCGAGTGTTTTAAGTAGAACTAGATGAGAAAAGCAGCTGGGTGCATTTGTTTGCCACTTTGATGTGCTCAGTGCGGGTTTTTTTTCTCAGGCACAGGCACTCTTGGCTTATACACCATAGGGTGGCTTTGGCTGCACCTTGGGGCTTGTTCCTGTGAGCAGGCAGCACATGTGAAGCTTGGCACAAGAACTACTGAGACCTGCTAAAGCTGGTTTTAACCTGGTCTAGGTTTTAAAGAGAAAGATGACTTTATTTGTGTGTTTGCTCCTAAAGAATCTTGGTTATATTTCCTTTTCTAGATACAACTCTAAGTGCTGCCTGTATGAAAGAGCCCAGCCACACCATCCAGTAAACTGTCTCAGGCAGCAGTTGGCTTGCTTGGAAATCACTTCCAGGACTGTGTTGTAAGTAAGTGTTTTTACAAAAGCATCGTCAAATGGTTTCTTCAGTTTTGGGGTGATTTTGAGATGTTCTGGTTGTTTCTTATAATTTCACAGTTTTATTCTAATATCTAGGAAGACACCAACAATGCATGTGGGAACTGGAGCACCCCCATATCTGTGCATAGCATGAAGCTAAAGCCCTTTCAAGGCTTTTTGCTCTCTTGCTCTAGAACTTCCCAGCAAAGTACCTAAACACTTCTGAGAACAGGCAGCTACGTAGAAGCCTAGAAAGAAATTTGGCCAAATACATAGTGATTTATTTTGTCATTAACTCTATAACATACATGTTTTTTGAGTGTTCATTCCAGCCTGTACTTCAGACTTTTAGCTGTGCTGGTGTAGCCCTGCTAGAGTGAATACTTTGTGGAGGTTTTCATTAACTGTGATCTGCCTAACTCAGTTTGAAATGATCCATGAATATATGCCCTGTCTGATCCAAAAAGAGCAGTGCTTTGTCCCTTTGGCCATGCAGGGGGTTTTGCTAGGGAACCTCAGCAGTCTGTGAATGGAGGCGAATTTAGTCAGCTGCGTCTTCTTTCTATGATTGTGGAATCACAGAATATCCTGAGTTGAAAGGGATCCACAACAATTTTTGAGACCGTCCTAGTGATGAGTGAGTCTCAATGAAAATGGCCCTATTTCAGGTCACAAGCCAATTGCATTGTATATGGAACTGAGAATGTGTTTGCATTTAGAATGAATAACACCATCCTAGAAAACTTTGAGATGTACACCAAAAAACCCTTATTATGCTGTTTATACTGTTCATTTTGAAAGCATAATTCATTCAGGGATGTTTGTGACCTAAAATTTGGTAATTTTTATTTCTTTTTATATTGTCTTCATTTTTCTGGTGCTGCAGGTTATGAGAAGTATGATATGAGAAGTATTTCTGACATAAGTGCATTTCCCTTGACCTCTGATAACATGGTTACTTGAGAGAGCAGTGGTGGGAGAGTTGGTGACTTAGAGTTCAAATCACTTACTTAAGCATATTTATTATACAGGCTGCTCACATTCCTCAGCATCTTGCAGAATATTCCCCACAGGTGAAATTTGCTGTACATATACTAGATATAAAATATATATTATTTTTTAATGTTAATCCTGTCACCAAGTCCTTCAATCACAGCAGTTGAGTCAGTTTTTTGCTGTAGGTTTCTTTTTTGTGACTCTTTGTACCATCAACTGACACACCTGGGTCACTCTCTAGGTGAGGTTGTGCTGGACAGGAATCTTTGGTTCAGCTCTGCCTGCAGTTATCTGCCAGATGCAGTAACTGCTGTTTTGTTCTTGTTCTGTGATTGCTGGACCTGTGAGGCGCTCAGCCCAGTTCTGCATGGGTGAAGTTGAATGAGATGAAAGGAGGACTGGTTACTGTCAGTGATGGGACATTTCAGCTATGGCAAATGCGCAGAGAACAAGTGAGGGAATTGTTTGGGGGAAATTAGGGCTTTGAAAAGTCCGAAGTCAAACAGTTTCTCAATTAGAAATTTAAAACAAGGCCTGATGTCTGTTTTCACCAACCTGTTAATGGTTCATCTGCTTCTGGATCTTAAATCCTGACCTAAGCCACCATTCGTTTCATGGAACCATGAAATCATTAAGAATCATACAAGCAAAGTTGTTTAGGTTGAAAAGTGCCTTCAAGATCATCCAGTCCAACTGCTAACCCAGCACTGGCAAGTCTACCACTAAGCCATATCCCTAAGTGCCACATCTACATGGCTATTAAATACCTCCAGGAGTGGGGACCCAACCGCTTCCCTGGACAGCCTGTTCAGTGCTTGACAATTCCTTCCTGTGAAGAAATTTTTTCCTCATATCCAATGTAAATCTCTCCTGGAACAACTTGAGGCCACTTCCTCTGATCTTGTCACCTAGGAGAAGAGACCAACCCCCAGCTGGCTACAGCCTCCTTTCCGGCAGTTGTAGAAAGCGGTAAGGTCCTCCCTGAGCCTTCTTTTCTCCAGGCTAAACAAACCCACCTCCCTCAGCTGCTCCTCATGAGACTTGTGCTCCAGACCTCTCACCAGTTTCTTTGCTCGCTGAAGATGAGCGCTTCTCATTCTTTCTCACAGGCTCTGCTGCACATGTTCGCAGGAAGCCCTGATGTCACCATAGAGGGGCCCATAAACCCCTGAGGCTGTTTCAAGGGGAACAGTTTCTCTGTCACTGTTAGTGATGGATTTTCATCCAGTTTATGTCATGATGTTTGTGTTGCTCTGGCACCAGGAGCTGGAGCTGTGCATTCAGGTAGTTTACCTCAGGGTAGTTGCTACTGATTTGGTTCAAACCTGGTGTTGCAGCCTGCACGCTGAGGCAATCTCTTACACCAGTTCCTTGAAGGATTGACTATTCCAGTGTGGTTTTCTGCCTCATGTCCTTCCCATTTAACTGTATTAGTCTGTTTAATGGTACCAGAAGGCCACATATTTGCTCTCTGAAGCCTCAAACAGTAGATGCATGCTTTTAAATAGTTAAATAAACGTTAATTATGATTCACAAATAGTTTTCCCCCAACTATTAAGTAATATCAAACACCGAATTTTTCAGTCAGTAATTGTTTTTCCAGCTGCTGAGTGGGACGAAGTATTCAATATTTTTACAGAGTTATTTTTGCAGCTGCTTGGCTGCTTTAAGCATAAAAGTCCTATGCTATTTTGTAGGGCCTGACAGCCTTGGATGCACAGTGGGCACAAAAATCCTGTGGTGGGAGTGGAATGATTACAGTCTTCTGATGCACCCTGGTTAGCTGTGGATAGTTTGTGCTGCATCCAGATAAGCTGAAAACAGCATATTGGGCACTTTCAAAAGTTTGTGGTTTTGCAGCATTTTCTCACAAACATGTGAAGTCTTTTTCTTTCTCACCGTGTGAGTTATTACACATGTGGAAATTAGTTATTTTTTCCTTTCCAAGATCTTGAGACATTCTGTGAGGGACTCAGCCAGTGTGAATTATTTCATGAAATAGTGGTTTGACTCGTTGCACCTCCTTGCAAATAGTATAATACCAAAGGATTTTGTCTTAGAAGTGCGTATTACGTGCTTCACACAGAAAGATCTTAACAAATTTTAAAATTAAATTAAATTAAAATTTAAAATTTTAAAATATCAATTAAACCACAAGTCATGGTGATAGTGAGAGATGCATTGTTTTCACCCGCCGTGACGACTACCCTGGCAGTGAGCACATGGCTCACATTTTCCCAGTGATTCATTAGCCAAGCCAGTAAAGCATCCTGGGCAGTCTGACACTGTGGCTTACTGGTAGCTGTTCTTCAGATGATTGCTCATGTCGACATGATGCACAGCAGTGTCAGAACATTCACTTTGGAACTTACCTTTTTTTGTGCATCTCTTTTCTCTGGTTTTCCCACCAGCTCTGCTCTGCTGCCTCACAGCACTGCTGTTCCCATAAGCAGTTGCTGTAACTCTGTGAAGCTACAAAGAAGAATTACCTTCTAAATATCACTGGTGGGTTTTGATGAAGCCACAATCATGAGCACAGGGTGCACAGAGGACACAGCACTGAGCACTGGGGAGAGGATGATGTTGGTAGGGGAGGAGACCAAAGTGTGAAGGGTAAATTCTGTTTGATGTTCAGTTATGTTGGTTTTTTAAGCCAGAACAGAAAAGAAGCAGGATCAAAAGCCTTCACAAAGCAGAAGTGTGAGTGTAATGAAACGTAGTGACTAGACAAAATAAAAAAATAAAAAAAGAAGTTCATTGTAAAACCCACCAAACTTAAATTTCAAAGCCCCAGAAGAAGAGGTGATCTGTCAGCCACCCAGCTTGGACTGGGCACCCAACTGGAACTCATGGTCTGGGTTCAGTTCCCTGCCTCAGTCACAGGTTTCCTGTGTGTTCGCAGGCAGCCTCCTTCATCTGCCCCATGACTGACTTCCTCATTTTGCAGTGGAGAACATCTTCCTCATGTTCATTGTGAGAACAAATCCTACTGATGTTGCTGAAAGATGTGAATGTTGTGACGGGAAGAGCCACCCTGGAGACCAGAGCAAAAGGGGTGTCCTTCCTCACAGGGGACAGTCACCCATGCTGCTCGCATTTCTTTGTTAAAGAGTAAATGAAATTATTTCCAGATCTCAGAAGGGTTGATTTTCTTCTTTCCAAGTTTTTCAGGCCTACTTTTTTTGTGAAGTTTGGCTGCCCCAGTGCAGCAGCAGGCATTTGGAATATTCCCTGTCTCTCACCTTTCTCCTCTCAGTCTGTCTGCTTATGGCTTTGAATCACTCCTGTCTGCTCAATGCACGCGCCCGGCACAACCCAGTGGGATCAGAAACACAGCTTCTGTCATCTCCCAGCTTACGTGGAGATCTCCTAACATGTAAATATGGTTGTTTGTAAGAAAGAAACCGAAGAGTGCTTGAGGCTGGTTGGAGGGGTACCAAAAGTGAGCCTAGCAGCTGAGGAAGGTGGTGCGAGCCAATGGAATGTCACACTCACGGACTCCTGCCAAGGTGTGCACTGGCACAGTGTGGCTGCTAAGGATGCCTACGTAGCCCATCACCACCACTGGCCTTCAGCCCCTCTGCTCCTCCACTCAGTCCCTGATAAGCAAAAATATTCGTTTAAGGGGTTTTTATATACTCTCACTCAGTGCTGATGCTAATTCTGAGTAAGGAATCAGAAATGACAAGTCACATGCCTTTTGATGTGCCCTTTTATCTCCTTTGGGTTGGTTGTTAAACTTTTAAGTGTGAGGACTTCTCAGTACATGAAAACCGATGTCTTGTTCCTTCCAAGGCTGGTCAGCTCAGAGTCCCTTGCCATGAGAAAACACGGATGGTTTAAGATGTAGTGCTGTCGACACTAGACATCCTCTCTCTGCCTGCAGTGCCTGTCCCTTTTCCCAACAGCTGAAACTGGAAATTCAGTCTGCTTGCAGCTTTAAAGGACTAGTGCCTGAAAATGCAGCAATTGCTTAGTTGTCCATTGCTGTTT